ATACACACTCACACACATACACACATACACACTCACACACATACACAGTCACACACATACATACTCACACACATTCACACTCACACACATTCACACTCACACACATACACACTCACACACATACATTCACATACATATACTCACTTGTACACGCACTCAATATTCACACACATTCATACTCCCATACACCTCACACAGACCTTCGCGCGCGCGCACACACACACACACACACGTTTTCTGTTTTTCCCATTTTACTGTGAGCTGTAATGAGCAGAGTTTAGTTAGCTGGCCGTTTCACATCCGGTACCGTAGCTCGGGCTGATCAGGGGCTGCCGAGTGAGTGCATGGTTGCTGTTCTCGAGGCAGTGAGGTTCAGAGCACTTTTGCTGTTTCTTCTGCTTAGTTCTGAAAACCTGGAAGGGCTGGATGTTTACATGCACATCTTACAGCTGCTTACCACTGTGGACGATGGAATTCAAGCAATTGGTAAGGTGGAGTCTTGGCGCACACGGTACTTGCTCACTTAAGTGATCACTATTTTAAAATACCACTTTAAAAAAATATATTTCTTAAGTACAGAGTCCTGATACTGGGAAAGACACGTGGAATTTACTCTATGACCTGGTGTGCCATGAATTCTGCCAACCTGATGACCCGCCCATCACACTGCAGGAGCAGAAAACAGTGCTGGCCTCCATCTTCTCAGTGCTGTCTGCCATCAGTGCCTCACGGGCAGAGCAGGAGCACCTGAAGATAGAAGGCAAGTGTACTTTCCGTTCACCAAAATTAATTGGCGCTCACCAGATCACAAGTGCCAGGCCTGTGTGTGCTCTTCACTAGGTTTCTTTTTCAGTTTTTCTCTATTTAAAAAGAAAACACCCTTATTTCCCTAGTAGCATAAAATATTAAATGCTTAGTACAAAGCATAATGTTTATAAAAGGCTTGAGGAGGGACTTGGGGTGCATCCCGGTAGTGGGGTGCTCGCTCAGCATGAGTGCCACCCTGGTTCAGTCCCCAGCACCAAACCGCATGGCTCTATCCAGAGGCACCACCTGTCGGTCAGGAACACGTCCTGGAGTTGTGTGTTTTCCTAATCCGATGCTGTGCTCTCAGGCCATCACTGTAGCGCTGTGGTGACAAGGTGCTGTGCGCCAGCACTAGTGAGCACAGTCTCTTCAGCCTGAGGTCCGGCTTGTTTAGTGCTGAGCTGGGGTAAAAGGTCCAAAGCTCCCAGAGCTTCCCGGTGCTTTCATTGGCACTGTTGAGTGTGCAGAGGGTCTAGGGATGTACTGTGCGGGTGTGTTTCGGAAGTGGCTCGGTGCCCCTCAATCTTGCAGTTCTTGCGTTCTTACTGGGTTTCTTCTTAGACCTTAGTCTTTTGAGCCGCTGCTCTCTGTGGCGTGCTTTCTTCTACTGATTATTGTCGGGCTTTATGAAGGCTGGTGATTGGTATATGAATTTTGATTCTAGTACCTTTATTGACTTGCCTGTGGTTTGCTTTTGTTGTGCTTGGGGTTGGACTCAGGGCCTTGGGCATGTGGTCAGCCTGTCACTGAGCTGTATCCACAGTCCTGTCCTAGTGTTTTTAAATTTTATTTCTTTATTTATCTGTCTATTTGGTTTTTTGTTTGTTTAATGTGTATGGGTGTTTTGCCTGCATGTGTACATCAGATGCCTAGTGTCTATGGAGTCCAGGAGAAAATCCCTGAAAATCCCTGGATCCCCTGAAACAGAGGTTATAAAGGCTTGTGAGCCAACATGTGGGTGCTGGGATTTGAACCAAGGTCCTGTGGAAGAACAGCCTGTGCTCCTAACCACTGAACCATCTCTCCAGTCTTTTTCTTGCTGTTTTTAGTAATAAGTCCCATAATAGTATTGAACTTTATCTGATATTAGGTTGTGTATCTATTTTGTCATTTTTCTGTCTCTGGCTTCTATCTAAGTGGGTTGCCTGGTGTTTTAAATAACCAGTAGAAAAGCCTTCTCTTCTTCTGCCTCTATGGCAGTGTCTTGAGAGCTTCGCCATTTAGTGTTACTGAGCATAAGGTGCTTGTTTCTGCCATTCAGGGATGACTTGATCTCTTCCTGTCTTAAGTTCTTTATAGGTAAGCACTTTCTGAGAGCCAGTTCTATGGTTATGAAGAGGTTATTTCTCTGACAGGGTGACAGGGAGGACATAAGGGAGCTATGGAGGCCGCCATCTGAGCACTGGGGAGGAAGCGGCCGATGGAGACTAGCACACGTGAAAGCACTGGGTACCTGGGGGAGGGGGTAAGCTCTGCGTGCAGCTGCCAGCAGAGGGCCGGAGCCTGCTGTGGCTGAGCTGGAGCCAGGGCAGGTTCGAAGCACAGGTGGATAGACACGGCTGGCTGGGGACGGCCATGGGCTGGTGAATGTTGGGAGCTCTGGGTGAAAGGGAGAAGAGATGGCAGGCTGTATGGCATTCAGCAGTGTTCTAGCTTTGATCAAGGCGGGAACAGTAGAAATGGGGAAGGGAGAAATTAGGGCTAGGAGTTGGGGGGTAAGGATCGCTCCGGCTTTTTTGTTCAAAACAGCTGGCCCTTCCTGAGACCAGGGCCACTGGCTTTAAATATGCTGCCTGCATCCTGGTGGAGGTGGCGAGGGCAGTGTGAAGTCAAGAGCTGGGGACAGGCCTGAGCTGAAAACGCAGATGTTAGGGCATCTGCTGAACACCTGCTTATCTCCCAAACCTCAGAGATTTCTTGGGCTTGCCTTGGTGTGAAAAGCTAGGGAGTCTATCTCTTACTGCAGGAGTATTTATCTTGTTCTCTCTCACCGTGCCAGTTTGGCCGGTGTGCTGTTGTACTGGTGGGATCTTTGTGTAACACATGGGGAGTTACCATTTTCCCCTTCTTGATGTTGCAGGACGAGGCGTCACTGCTGCCTCTGCGGCCAAGACTCTATGCAGTTTTCGTGTTTGGGCAGAACATGGACGTACTTGTTCAGAACATGAACTCACTGTTATAGTTAGCTCTCTCCTTGCCTTGCACTTGGTGGAGTTGAGGCCATTCTAGTTTCGTGCGCTGCTGTGATACAGCACTGAACAAAAGCAACTTGGATGTGGGAGACGGTTTATTTGAGCTTATGGGTTCCAGACCATCACTGGTGGAAGTCGGAGCAGGAACCTGAAGCTTTACCCATGGTCCCTAACCACTCGCAGCGCTAGTTCAGTGTGGGTTGATGGACAAATGGACGAGTGAATGAATGAATACTTACCTGGCTGGTTTCATTCCCTTGCTTCTTTGCAGGGGATCTTCCTCTAATCGACAGCCTAATTCGGGTGTTACAAAATATGGAGCAGTGTCGGAAGAAATCTGAGAACTCCCCGGAGTCTGACACAGAAGAGCCTACAAACTGTGGTTCCCCACAAGACGACTTCCATATGAAGATCTTACAGGACATTTCATGTGAATTCCTCTCTAATATTTTTCAGGCGTTAACAAAGGTAGGGAGACCTATAAGTGGTTTGCATCCTCAGCTCCATTATTATTTTTTATGATATTAAGAAAACATCTTTAATCCCAGTTCTCGGAAGGCAGAGGCAGGCAGATCTCTGTGAGTTTGAGGCCAGCCTGGTCTACAAAACGAGTCCAGGATAGCCAAGGCCACCCAGAGAAACCCTGTCTTGAAAAACCAAAAAGAATTTCTTTTCTCCTCCCTTCTCCCCTGTCTTGTGTGATGCATTATGTGATGGTCAAGGACTCTCCCTCCAGGCTGCAGCCTTAGCCTTACTCATGGTTTTGCTTTGAGAGGGTCTGATTGCACATTGTTGAAGCCAGAGGACAGCTTGTAAGAGTTGATTCTCCCTTCCAGTGTATGTTTAGATATAAAGTCAGCTGTCCTTACTCAATTTGGGAAATTTTGTTATTATTTATAGTCTTAAAATGCTGCTGTGGTTTTGTGTGTGTGTGGCTGCACACACGTGCGATAATAGGAATTTCAACAGACTATGTTACTAAAATTTATATTGATACTTTCTGATGTGTAAAAACAATGGTTTTGTTTGGCTCTTATTAGTGGCTATTGTAATTTTATATTGATTATTTTTATTATGGTTTTATATTGGTCTCCAACGAGACCAAACCTGCTCCAACAAGGCCTGTGTCATTCGTTGTGTCCTCAGCTCCAATATTATGTTTTATGAAATTAAGAAAACATCTTTAAACCCAGTGCCACACTGGCCACAACGTCTAACCCTAATCCTTTCAGAGAGTGCCACTCCCTGGTGAGGAAGCATTCAAGTACATGCGGCTGTGGAGGCCGTTCTTACTCAGACACCACAGCATCTTTAATATTGCCTTCAGGTATTTGTTATCTTTGGTTATTTTTTTTTGGTTTTTCGAGGCAGGGTTTCTCTTTGTAACCTTAACTGTCTGGACTCGCTTTATAGACCAGGCATCCTTGAACTCACAGAGATCCACCTGCCTCTGCCTCCTGGAGGGCTGGGATTATAGGCTTGCACCACGGAACACAGCTTCAGATGTTTTTAAATTGTTTGTCATTGCTTTAGGTTTTGGGAGGAAAAGACAAACTTCTTTTTTTTTTTTTTTTTAACTCTTTAAAGTTCCAGAAAGATAACAAGAAGGTGGCTTGATTAAAAAAAAAAAAAAAAACCTCAAAAAACCTAAGGACATGTTATAAAACTTCTTAGATGCCACCTTCAGGGAATTTGGTGCTCCTGACTTTTCCTTTCCTTTCCTTTCCTTTCCTTTTCTTTCCTTTCCCCTTTCCCCTTTCCCCTTTCCCCTTTCTTTTCCTTTCCTTTCCTTTCCTTTCCTTTCCTTTCCTTTCCTTTCCTTTCCTTTCCTTTCCTTTCCTTTCCTTTCCTTTCCTTTCCTTTCCTTTCCTTTCCTTTCCTTTCCTTTCCTTTCCTTTCCTCTTTCCTTTCCCCTTTCCTTTCCCCTTTCCCCTTTCCTTTCCCCTTTCCTTTTCTTTCCCCTTTCCTTTCCTTTCCTTTCCTTTCCCCTTTCCTTTCCTT